ATCCGCAGGTTCACCAGAGCCACCCGCCAGTACAGCGCCATGACCAAGCTCCAGCGCCAGGGAGGGCTCCCCGCGGGCGTCTACGGCCACCAGGTCCACGGGCTCTTCGGCGAGCAGTTGACCAGGTGCAGGCGACGCTTGGCTCAGACATGCGCCTCATCGGCGCGCGGACGATGCCTCACCACGGTCCTGGCCCTGCGGGCCCCAGGCGCTGACCCAGCAGTGCTCTACCCCGTGCAGACGGTGGACACTTGGCTCAAGATCTGGAGGGACTGCCCAGACATCCGAGCAGGTGTTCGCAAGGCTTGGCCGATCATTTTGAAGCAGATGCAAGCTGTACCCGTCCCTGCACAGGTACGGCAGATCCGAGGCCCGACGGGGGCCATCATACACTCGCTGCTCAGACTAGGCTGGACACCACATGATCCGTCCACGTGGTCCTACCAAACAGGCCCCGACAGCAGCGAGGAGTGGCAGTTTCCTGATAGCATCTACACAGGCAACGCGCATGTGGATAGACACGATCACCTGCTAGCAGATATTCGTAAGTTTTGCGAAGCTCAGCTCTGGACCCAGGCAGCGCGACATTTTTGCGGCGGGGGCTTGGAGCAGGGCGTCGACAACACCTCATACATCCAGCTGCTCAGGCACCTGGCGCAGGTCCCCAACGGCAAAAGGTTGTGTGAGATCATGGTGCTAGTGGCGTCAGGCGGCATCTGGAACAACGAACGGAAGAAGCAGGAGCTCAAGAACTACACGGGCACCGACAAGTGCGACCGCTGCGGCACCGAGGTGGACACCCCTCTGCACAGGTACTGGCAGTGCTCGTGCAATGTGGACGCCAAGCCGTACACCGACTCCGATGACCTGTGCACGCAGGCCGTCACGCAGTGCAACACTGCTGAGGCCTTCTGGCTTCGAGGGCTTCTACCTGCCCCCTGGACGGAAGTGAGCCCACCGCCTGCAGAGGACGCCTGGCAGTTCACTGGCGCCCCATACCTGGAGCCAGGACTGTTTGGCCCAGGGTCGCCTTCCGACCCGGTGCTGATCTTTGGCGACGCGAGCGGAGGGCCCGACAGCCGTAGCCCCAGGCTCCGACGCGTGGGCCTGGCTATCACGTGTTTTGCCCGCCTGCAGCCCGCCATCGTTCCGCGTGGCTCGATCTTTGGGCCACTCAGCGGCATGCGGCAGGTCGTAGCCAGAGGTGAATTAAAGTGTTTGTATCTGGCCCTCTGGGCCACCACGCAGTTCCTCACCTTTGTCACTGACTTTGCAGATGTAGTCACAGGCTGGTACGAACAACGGTTTCGCCAGCCAAGAGGTGCTGACGCTGACCTTTGGGCGGCCATCGGTGACCTCATGGCCCACAGACCGTTTCACCATGTGTCAGTCCTCTTCACACATTCTCATATGACGGCCACCCAGTTGGCCAACGGGCAAGGAATACGTACGTTGATTCTTGGCAACGCTGTTGTGGACGAGCTTGCGGGCCTGGCTGCTGCGCAGGCCCGCGTGCCCGAGGACCAGCGCTACCGTCTGTTGCTGCACGAGCGTCGCGCACGTTTGGTGCGCCTCCGCCTCCTTCGTGTGACTGTGGATGCACTGGCTAAGGAAAAACAGCTGGAGCGGAGTGGTGAAAGGAAAAAGCGTGGAGGCCCTCAGCCTCCCCCCCCTCCGCCGCCCCCCTCCGCTGCTGCCGTTGCTGCTCTCTTGTCTCGACATCGGCTGTCCGACTGCCGAAAGAGATGCTTGAGGTGCCACGGCTCAGCGTCCTTGGACACTTTAAAGGAATGGCATGCCTCGGAGTGCCACAGCTTAGTGAATGTGAATGGTCTGATTTACTCTCCTCCAGTCGGAGGGCGGATCCACGTCGGGGGGGGCTGGCTGCATCCTTCTCACCACCTCAATGTGCACGCCTCTTTGAATTGTTGGTTCTGTGGGAAGTGTGGGGCCATTGCTGACAAGCAAGTCCGTTCGCTTGCTAAGCCTTGTACGAACAAGTTGTCAGCAACGGGCCGTGAGTACCTCAGAAGAATTCGTGAAGGGCTCCCCCCCAAGGTCCTCAGCAAGGCCGAATTGGCCCAGCGAGGCCGAGGGTAGCATTGTATGGATTGGCATCGCCAGTGGTTCCTATTCCTATTCCTATTCCTATTCCTCCTCCTCCTCCTCCTCCTCTCCTCCTCTCTCCTCTCCTCTCCTCTCTCCTCTCCTCTCCCTCTCCTCTCCTCTCCTCTCCTCTCCTCTCCTCTCCTCTCCTCTCCTCTCCTCGTCTCTCCTCTCCTCTCCTCTCTCTCTCCTCTCCTCTCCTCTCCTCTCCTCTCTCCTCTCCTCTCCTCTCCTCTCCTCCTCCTCCTCCTCCTCCTCCTCCTCCTCCTCCTCCTCCTCCTCCTAGGAGAACCGGGCCCACGCCGAGGATCGAGGCCTCTTAGATGGGGTCGGAGTAGATGGGGTCGGAGGATCGCGCCGCATCGCCGAGGCATCGGCGACGCGGCTCGATGCGGAGCGCGTTTTCCTCCACGCCGACGTCGGCGCTGCATCGCTCGTGCCTCGCCATTACGTCTCCGACGCAGCTCCGATGCATCGGCGACGCGGCGCGATCCTCCGAACCCATCTACGCCGACCCCACATAGGAGGCCTCCAGTCTCGCCCAGCCCTGGGTGTGGGAGCACTGCCTCCTGCACGTGGTGCGATCATGACCCTCCTCGTGCTCCTCCTCGCTCGAACGAGTTGGGTGTCTCCCGCGCGATTCCGGCTCGAGTCGGATGCTCGGTTGCCGTTTGGTTCGGGCGCCAGCGCGACTGTTTTATAGTTGGTAGAGGGGAAACGGGCCCGGTATTGCCGCCATGCTGATTTTCTCGTCGCTACACCACCCCTTACAATTCTAGTTTCTCCTCCTCCTCCTCATCCCCAGAGAATGGGTAACGCGCGCGCTCTTGCGACGATGCATTGGTGCTCGACCAATACTTTATAGCCTCGGTTGTACCCCTGTTCGCTCAGCGAGTTCGTTCAAAAACGCCATACCTTGCCTTGCATTGCCTGCCCCCGATGTCCTCCTCCTCCTCCTCCTCCTCCTCCTCCTCCTCTTCCTCTCCCCCTTATTCCTAGGGCATGGCATGTGCGCCAGTTTCCAAAAGCGAAGGTTCACCGCGGCATTGCCTCCAGCCACTCTCGGAACATTCAGGACCCCTGCTGCGCGATGTTGCAGGGGGTGAGTGCGTGCAGTACATGGCATGATGGTGTTAAGGGTGTGCGTATCGTATCGTTCAGGCGGGGACAAAAACACAGACACAATTCATCGTCGATCCCCAGGAAAAGATGGGGAAATCTGGGAAGTGGGGGGAAGACAGCAACCAATAATATATGGGGACATATGGGGAATCCTGTTCGTCTGCGCACGGCCGGTCCGGTGGCCGCTCGAAGCCCTGCCCCCCCCTTCCGCGGTGCAGGGCTGCTGCTGCAGGGCTCCGTCCGCCCGGCGGCATGGCCTCCCGTCGCGGGCTGCCCCATCTTCTCGACTACACGTAAGAGTGACCTATCGCCGGAGTGACCTTTGGTGCGCGCTCACTGGGGTCGGGCGAAGAGGACTATGCACATGCACCGATCCTGACAACGTCCATCCTTGACCCAGGATCGGTGCATATAACTTCCTGGCCAAGGTAAGAGGGCGTATGCACCGATCCTGGGCTCAGGATGGGCCTGGCCAGAATCGGTGTATGTGCATAGTTCTCTTTCCTCTACTGGGGTCCCCCGATCGCCGCGCCCGCTGCGATAGTAGCGTCTGGCGCGCTTGTGTTTGGCCTCCTCGCGCCCCTCAGAAATCCGCGCACCAAGGGTCACTCTTGCCCAGGGTCACTCCTTACGTGCAGCCGATCTTCGCAGGCCTCGAGGTTGACACCAACACCAAGATAGGCGGTGTGCCTCCACCGAGGGAAGACGATCCCGATCTCGGTGATGGTGGCAATGTTCTGGCTTCCCAGGTGGCCGAAGTATTGCCACCAGCACCGACATCGAGGATCATATTCCCCACGTGGAGGCAGCCCCCTGTGCTGGTGTTGGTGCCAACTTCCAGGCCTCCACTGCCCCTCTGTCCGCGCGAGCTCACGAGCAGACGCGCCCATCCTGCTACCTCCTGCCTCCTTTCCTCCTTGTCCCCTTCCCCCCCTCCTCCCCCCCCTTCCCCTTCCCACGTCCCCTCTCTCCTCCCCCGCCTCCTTCCCCCCCACCTTTCCTCTTCCTCCTCCCTCCTCCTCCTCCCTCCCCCTCCCTCCCCCTCCCCTCCTCCCTTCCCCCTCCCCTCCTCCCTTCCCGCGAGTGAAGGCAACATTGCTGAAACTTAACCTGTTGCAGGTCCGCGCGGAATCATTTTTGGATGATGCCCCCCTGGCTTCGCCTGCTGCGCCGATCCAAGTAAGCCGCGCGGACCTCAGGCAGTTCATATGGCTCGTTCCATTGAAGGCTTCCTCTTCGGGGGACCCAGAAGATGGTATTGGAGAGGCCTGACGGCCGGTGCCGCCGACCCTGATCGAAAGGGCTAGGAGTGGGGGGAGGAAGCGGAGGAGGAGGAGGAGGAGGAGGAGGAGGAGGAGGAGGAGGAGGAGGAGGAGGAGACGGAGACGGAGGAGCTGGAGGAGGAGGAGGATGAGACGGTATTTCTTTCTCAGCGGAGGCCACCGGAAGTGGAACGTGGGCGGCCCCGCCGGCGGCAAGCCGCCAAAGGCCGGTGAAAAGCACAGGTGGCCCTCCCAGGAGGTGCTGCTTGTTCTCGTTGATCCAGGGTTAGGGGGCCACATGCGAACCCTACCCCTACCCCCCACGATTTCTGAGGGGGAGGGTGGGGTTCACTTCGCTCGGGAGGTCCCGAACGAAGTGAACCCCACCCTCCCCCTCAGAAGTCGTGGGGGGTAGGGGTAGGGTTGGCATGTGGCCCCCTAAGTGTTTCCAGAGTGAGCCACGCGTGTTCAGCTTGTTCCTCCTCGCTCCCTCCCTCGGCCGCCCCTCAGGAGGGTGTTGGACTGGATTGTCGGCCTCCTCTTCACGATCGGCGTAATCTGCTACGTCGCTGGCGGGCACATCTTCCCCGCGCGGAGCAGCAGCGGTGCCAGCGGCGCCTGGTGGGGCATCGGCCTCATGTTCGGCTTCTTCGCGTTCGACTCCCTCACGGTGTCCATCCAGGACGCCAGGGGTCAGAGGAGGAAAAGGTACGGATACCGCTGCCCTTCGCTCGTTTTCCCCTCTTTAGGCCTCCTGGGAGGCTCTCGTCGCCACCGCTGGATTCGCATCGACATTCTGGTCACGACGCGCCCCAGTCCAGGGAGGAGCGGTATCAGTACCTTTGAGTTTCCCCCAGGCTTGCCATCGCTCGGACGTGTGCGTTTCGTCTCGGCGAGGACCATCGAGGTTCAAGGGAGGAAAAACCACCTGGACCGGACAATTGGCGTTTACTAAACGGCCCTGGGCGTTTACTAAACAGCCCTGCCCTGTTCGATTCCTTCTTTGGGCGCGTTTACTAAACGACTTTGCGTGTGGGGGTGCTTATTCAGGGGGGGATTTTGAGACTTCTAGAGGAGCATCCTGGATCGTCGTGCGAAGAATACGCGCACGGAGCCGAAACATGCACGGGGACTGGACGTCCCAGCGAGGACACGAAAGGTGGAGGATGGCGTGCGAGTGAGCCGAGGCGCGCACGGAGGCATGGCGACGATGATCCCCGAGCGGCTTCTGCGGCCCCTCGAGGCTGGAGAAGAGACAGAGACCACCTCTGTCTACGGTCGGTCCGCGTCGTGTCGCCCCACGGCGACCCCGCCGCCGGCGTTCAACGTTGAACGCCGCGGGCGACCCAGAAGCGGTCGATGTTGAACGATCTGACGTTTCGGAAACGGCCGATCGTTCAGGGTTGAACGATCCCCGCGGTGGCAGGAACCACCGCCAGGGTCAGCACGACACAAACCTGAGCAGTGGCTTTCGGCACATCTCGCCGCCGTGCCCGGTTCGTGGGCCCGAGGCCCCTGGCATGTGCATAGCAGATAATCTGGGCGCAACTCGGCGGCCTGCGGAACGGATCCGAGCAAGCTCGACCCTGCTCTGGTGCCACAGGAAGAAACCAGCAGTTCCCCTCAGGCGGTCCCAGTGCGGAAGAAGCTCAGGAGGGGAAAAAACACACAGACACCAGTAATCGTCGATTCCCAGGAAAATGTGGGAAAATATGGGAAGTGGGGGGGGAGACAAAAACCCAGAAAATATTGGAAAATATGGGGGATCTTTTTATTTGTGTGTATTTATTTGTGTGTCCTGGGGCCCCTTCGAGATAATCTGGGCGCAACTTGGCGGCCTGCAGAACGGATCCGAGCAAGCTCGACCCCGCTCTGGTGCCACGGGAAGAAACCAGCAGTTCCCCTCGGGCGGTCCCAGTGCGGGAGAAGCGACAGTCCAAAGAGCTTCACTCGTGGTGGCGGGGTGCCGGAACTCGGACAGCCTCCAAGGCCTGTCCTCCACTACAGTCGGGGCCAAGAAGAAGGAACCATTTTCGTTGGGGAGGGGCTCCGCGTTCCTTAAGTGTTTCGCAGCTTGCCTCAGGTTTTCTTTTGGTTTTCGATACGAAATCGAAGTTTAACCTATGGAACATAGGGGCCTCGTTCCTTATTTAGGATTCCTTAGGTTCACGCCTCGACTGAGCCGTTTCGGCGCGAGCTGGTATTCTTGAGCTGGAGACAGCTCGCGATTGTGCCCACTTACTTCGAAGCGGCGTAGTGGGCACGAACCAACTTTCACGACGACGGCCCCACCCGTGGCAGCCCGCGGGCCATGGCGCCGGCACAATCGGACCCTGGCATCATCTCAGGCGCGTGTAAGACACCCCTCTGGTCTTGCTCCTGCGGCTGTGATGGCAACTGGGCTTCCAGGACGCGCTGCCGCCAGTGCTGGAAGGCTGCTCCCTCCCACGTGGTGCAGGCAGCCAAGCTCTCGGCAGCAGCAGCCAACGGGCCAGCACCCAGCACGTCTCGCCCGCGCGGGGCCTGGGCTCAGGGCCCGCCAGGACAGGGACAGCTCCTGGCGCAGCTGCAGCAGTTGCAGAAGCAGGTGGCAGAGCTCAAGGGCGAGGCCCCGTCCCCGTCGGAGCCCTGGAAAGGGCGCAAGCCCCCGCCCAGGAAGTCGGCCGAGGCGAGTGCTGGCATCTCCTTCAAGGACGTACGCACCTTCTTGGCGAAGGAGGGGCTTGACACCAGCGCGGTGGAAGAGGCAGAAAAGGCTGCGGAGTCGAAGACGCTCGAGAGCAAACAGCCCACCGCTCAGACGCAGCGCTGGAGGGTCAAGGCCATGCGAGACAAGATCAAGAAGCTCGAGGCCCGCGAGTCAGCCATCTTGGAGCAGCAGGCCGCTCTCGACAAGGAGCTCCTGGAGCTCAGGGCTTCGCTCGGCGACGAGAACCAGAAGCTCTCAGAGGGGGAGGCCAAGTTGGTCAAGTTGCAGGCCAGCGAGTTCCCCGACCCGATTCTGGCAGTCGCAGCTGGACTGGATGAGGACGTCGCCGCCAGCCAGGAGGCCAAGGACGCCCTCGCGGTCCTGGCCCGCTTGCAGAACGCAGCCAGCGACAGCAAGAAGGCTGCTGCCGCGGCCAGGGCCGCTGCTGCTCCTCCTGGTCCTGCTGCTGGGGAGTCAGACGCAGGCGGCGAGCACAAACCTGTGCCAGAGTCAGACGACATCGACATGGAGCTGCTGGGAGGAGAGGGCTGGGAGGAGAAGCGCGAGGAGTACGCTGCAGCCTCAGCAGCCCTCCGTGAAGCGACCCCCGAGCAGAGAGACGAGGCCAAGCGCAAGCTGCGCGATGCCTTGGGCGCGCTCTGGGCAGCAGGCAGGCGGCCTCGGCATCTTTGACCCCAGGTACAACGGGAGTCTGGAGGAGCAGCGCGGCCAAGGGACTGGCGGTCCGCAGCCCAGCCGAGGACCCATATGTAATAGTGGGTTGCTCCTTCAGGATGGCGTGGCTACAGGCTCGGGCGTGAGTCCCCCCTTGGACCTCGTTTGCACGGCGAAGCGCCGTCCCCAGCCCAGGGCTGAGGAGGCAGGCGCGATGGTGCCCGCCGCGGCCGCATGTCTCCAGCTGGCCAAGCTGGTGCGGCCCTCGGCGCAGCAGGGTGCCAGCTTCCTCAGCATCAACGGCTCCACTTGGGCCGAGTCCCAGGCGGCCCTCGAACAGCTGCTGGGCGAGAAGGTCAGGGACGACGTGTACCTCGGCGTTGGCTGAAGGCTCGGCCCGTGCCTGGTGCAAGCGGAACGGCATCAACGCGGCCTTCGGAGAGTGCCGCAGCACAGGGGCGGCGGTCCAAGCCGTCTCTTCGGGGGTCGCCGGGCTGGTCGGTGAGCACCGCGGAGTGGCCTCGATCGACCGGGTCTGGGGCCAGCGCGCCCCAAGGATCGTGGCGAGGCGCGTCGCCTTCGGGGACCTGGTCGTGGTGTGCGTCAGTCTGTACCTACAGTGCTCGGTCAAGCTCAATGAGACCAACGTGGACCTCTTGAGCGAGCTGCAGGGTTTCCTCCTGGGGTTGCGGGAGCCCTTCGTAGTAGGGGCGGACTGGAACTTGGAGCCCAGCCTCCTCAGCAGCTCGTGGTGGCCACGCGCGGTGGGGGCGGTGATTTTGGCGCCTGACGAGCCGACCTGCGGAGATAGCACATGTGACTTCTTCGTGATCTCGGACGTCCTGGCGGGGCTAGGGCCGAAGGTGTCGGTGCTCAGACAGGCGACCACGCACCCGCGCGTCCCCGTAAGGCTCACCTTCGAGAAGCTGAGCAGCCAGGCAGGAGTCTGGGTGCAGAAGGGCCCCAAGCCTTTCGAGCTGCCTGCGGCCAAGCAGGAGGGGATCCAGCCTGAGCCAGAGGAGGAGGACTCGCTGACGGACTGGAAGGCGCCGCTCCTGGACGAGAGTGGGAGCCCAAACAAGGCGATCATCGAGTTCTTCGACCAGGCGGAGGAGCGCCTGGTACACCTCCTCGGCATCAAGGACGGCGCCAAGTACAGAGGCAGGGCGCAGGGGCTTAAGAGGGTACCCAAGCAGCTCATCCACCTCCTGCGCTCGGAGGAGGTGCGCAGGACCAGCCCGCTTACCCGCTGCTGGATCACTTTGGGGCGCCTGGCCACTCAGCTGGCGGCCGCGGCGTCGGTGCCCCACCCCTCGCCTGGGCACCGCAATCACGTCAAGCGTCTGCAGGCGGCAGCACTAGGCTTGGCCCCCAAGTTTGAGGCAGCGGGCTGCGAGATGTTCGGCGGCACCAAGATGGCGACGATGATGGAGGAGATCTCGGTCAGGTCGCAGCAGGGCGGCATCTTCCTCCAGGCCATCAGCGCCGCAATTGAGGTCAAGCGCAGGGAGGGCGTGAAGCTCGCCAGGCAGCGCTGGAAGGAGTTCATGGCCGAGGCCCTCAGTGGGAACGGGAAGGGCGCCCACGCGATCAGCAAGCAGGCCAACCTCGAGACCGGCTCCATCCTCGGCCCTGGCGAGGGCGAGGCCCCCCCAGTCCCGCTGGTGGGGCAGCAGGCCCTGGACAGGATCCTTCGGGAGTGGAAGGCGCTCTGGCACAAGGAGGGCCCCGCCGGCGTCCGCCCCGAGAACTGGGACGAACCCTTGGGTCTGGACGCCATCGCGGCGGAGGAGGTGCTGGCAGCGGCGAAGACCTTTCCCAGGAAGACAGCTCTGGGATGGGACGCCTTCCACCCCAGGCTCATCCTCATCTTAGGCAGGGTGTGCGCTGACAGGCTGGCTGAGATCTTGACAGCCTGGGAACGGCACCCCCAGCCGTCGGAGCTTTTCACCGCGATCATCGTCTTCCTGGGGAAGCCCGACGGGGGCCGCCGCCCGATCGGACTCCTCTGCATGTGGCTTCGCATCTGGAGCCGAATCAGGCGCAAGTATTGCGCGGGCTGGGAGCGGGACCACAAGCTCCCCGAATACTGGGGGGCAGACTCGGACACCTGCTGCGACAGGGCGGCCTGCATCCACAACCTCCTGCTCGGCCTGGCGCGAGAGAAGAACTTCGAAGCTGCATCGGTTTACTTCGACATCAGCAAGTTCTACGAGCAGATCAGCCACGGTCTGCTCCTCGAAGCGGCACGGGGCTGTGATTTCAACACTGGGTTGATCCAGGCGCTGTGCGTGCTGTATTCGGGCCCCCGCAGGGCC